CAGTCAGCAGGCAGCATATCATCAAGAAGAGAAGAGCACACACACACACACACGAAGCACGTGCAGTGTGTAGCCACCCAATGAATTCCACGTCTGTCTGTGTGCGTGCATCGTGTGCGCCATCCGTGATGCACGCACACACCACACCACATGTGTGTGTGCCATCATCGCCCGCCTGCACACGCGCAGCGCACCCTCGCACACACATTCCCTCTCTGCGCGTGGACCCCTGTGGACATGAGCCGTCCTGTGTATGAGTGTGTCTATCTGTCTGCCACGCACTGCTGCAGACGCGCATTCACCAAATTCGCAAACCCTACGCGTAATTAGGGTTTAAATGGGCACGTCAGCCGCCGCCCCGCCCCCCTGCAATGGGAAAAAGCCTCTGGCGCAGCGATCGGCAAAATGCGAGCTTAGACTGCGAGAAGGGAAGATGCACACGCACCAAACGGACAGATCAGCAGCAGAGAGGCTCACAGGAAGACCACACACACAGCCAGGAGCAGCCAGAAGATCTTGAATAAGCTGGCATCTCTCTCTCTGTGTGTGTCCTTGTGTGTCAGAGATGGCCGTGTTGGTTGCGCCAAGACCCCGAGGCTCATTCGGGTGTCAGAGGACTGCTGTCGATGAGGGCTTTGCTATGCGCGGATTGATTGGCCGCTGCTCACGGTAGCTCGGTGCGTTTGCCAATCGTTGTGTGTAGGAGGTTCTGCCGCATGTGCAGCGCAGCCACGAGTGCGTCTACGGGAGATTTCTGCGGCAATAGATTGACCAGGGCATCCAGCCAGGTACGCACAGCTGTCGAGCGGTGCTCTCTGAGGTACTTCTGACTGACCCCCTCTCTCCCCTCTGTGTGTGAGTGTCATCTCTGCAGGCCCGTCTTTCGCTCTGTGGGTGCGGCCCGGCCCATCCAGCACATGGATCAGGTGCACCCTTGAGTGGGTGACACACGTGCCAAGAGAGAGGGGCAGGTCAGCAAAACTGACGACGCTACACAACCAAACAAAAATGTCACCATTTTGCCACTTTTGACCGTAGGATGACCCTTGTCGGCCACCTGTAGGCCCACATACGACTGACAGACAAGAAGTAAGACCACTCCTGGTTAGTGCGAAATCCATCAAAATGACCTTTTTAGAACCGACCTTTTTTCTGTGTGTGTGTGTTGTGTGTGTGTGTGGGCAATCAATGGCAGTTCCGCGCTCCGATGGGCGTCACGACCCTCGACAACTTCGTGTACGTGACTGCGAGCGGCTCCAACCAGATCTGGAAGGTCGATCCGTCCACGGAGAGCCTTTACCCCGCATTTGGTGGGGGCAAGAAGGGCCGGGAGGACATCTGGCGGGGAGGGGAGGAGGAGTACCATCTGAGCGACAAGGTGCGCTTCGCCCAGCCGGTGGGGATCGCCGGCACAGTGGGCGGCGAGCTCTATGCCGTCGACAGCGAGTCCTCGTCAATCCGCCGCGTCACGCTGCTCGACAACTCTGTCTCGACGGCATTCGGCGGGGACCCGCTGTTCCGATCTGACCTGTCGTATCTCGGTGACAGCACCGGCCTCTTCGGCGACTTCCAGGGGCCCTCCTTCCTCAGCAAGATCGACACACGGCAGTTCTATCTCGCCGACACGCTCAACCACCGCATCAAGAAAGTCTCCGCCAACTTCCCCTCTGTGGGCGTGTCGCTGGTGGCCGGGAGCGGCGAGAGGGGCTACGCGGATGGGCCGTTGAGAGAGGCCATGTTCGACGAGCCAAGTGGCGTGGCGTGCGACCTGACGACGCAGCGTGTGTGGGTGTGCGACAGCAACAACCATGCCCTGCGGGTCATCGACCTCCGGGACAAGACTGTGCGGACACTGACACTCAAGAACGTGCCAGAGGCCACGTAAATTGTTCTCTGTGTCATGTGTGTGTTATGTGTGTGTGTGTTGAGAGGATTTTGCGTTTTTGTCGGGTCGCTGTTTGATGTGTATAGGGGAGGGGAGGGGATGATTTTTGGCTGGCTGGCTGGCTGACAGGCTAATGGATGGATGGATGCATGTGTGTGCGACACGTAGGTGTAGGTGGGCAGACAGACAGAGATGAGAGACTGAGAGAGTTCTGAGAGGGGCAATGCCCCGGCTAATCGATGGATGATGCGTGTGGTGGTGGGTGACCTCGCCATGCAGGCCTGACTGAATTGAATCACCCTTACTGACTGCGATGTGAGTGAGGCGGATTGAGAGAGATATTCACACAAGCACTAAATCAGTCAGCAGGCAGCATATCATCAAGAAGAGAAGAGCACACACACACACACACACACACACAAAGCATGTGCAGTGTGTAGCCACACAATGAATTCCACGTCTGTGTGCGTGCATCGTGTGCGCCATCCGTCCGTGATGCACGCACACACAACACGAGTCAGTCGGTGTCGGAAATGTCGATGTATTCACACGCACGTCAGCGCCACATAAGCCAAGAAAACAAGCCGGCCGATGAAAAGACATGGTCGCTTGAAACTATGTGCGGCCCTCTCCATGTCAGTTCAAGAGCGCAGGGAGGCATGTCATTCCATGGGCATGTCGGCTACCATCACCTTTCCAACCATTTCGCGCCAGACCACACCCCAGCTGTCTGTCTGTCTGTCTGTCTGGTCACCCGCCCAATTGACAAAGACGTCACCCAGCCCACCGCGCCGACGCACACACAACAGGAAAACGCTCTCGACGATCCCATTCAGCCATCCAAAACACAGGTCGAGCCGAAGCATACATTCAGCCAGGCGACGAGGGAAAAGCCCCCGGCCACACACATGAATGAGTGTGTGACACACAGCCGCCCCCACGTATGTGTTTATTGCACTCTCTACTACACTATGCGGATCAAACGCAGCTGGCGGTAACGCGTCGTCCGGTAACGGGGGCCATCAGATTCGATTGGCAGTATGATCTGCCTGACTTCCCCCTCGCGCATCGGCAGCATCGCCTCACGGAACAACGCACCCCGATCAGACACACGAATCACCAGCCCACGGCGATCGCATGCTTTGTCCCGGCCGTCGAACGCATCATACCACCCGATGTAGTCGTACTCGACGGTGTCGTTGAGTGTTGGCGCTCTGCCGGTGCCGGGCGTGACGATGCGATACCGAAGACCAGATGGCATCACAGTGAAGCCGTCAGCATCAACAGGCAGCGCCTCAACACCGCTGCCGATAGCCACACTGACACACAAACATAGAATGCACCAGTCTTTATGGTCGGTTTGCTCGCCGTGCGTACGTGTGGGTGTTTGCCATCCGCCCGGCCGTCGGCCGCTGGGGAATCCCACGCAGCCTTTATGCAGCCAGCCAGCAGACAACAGAGAGAGATGGCATATCGCTGTCGGCAATGCCTTGGTTTGATTGGTTACCTGGGGTCCTGCTCATTGCCCCCTGCCGTGTACAGCGGTATGAGGCTGTCGACCGTCACGCCCGCCTTACACACCGGACAGTCCCTTTTGCCGCGACCGACCAGCCAGCCGTGCAGACACGCCCAGCAATACTGCATGGCACACCAACACACAACACACACGCACACACACCCGATGTGGGCCTCGTGCAGGCAGCTTTTGTGTCTTGCGCCTCGTGCATCGTGGCTCCTTTGCTGTGGGTGCATGTTCTCACGAGGTGTCCGCATCGCGTGACGACGGGCTCCGTGGCCTGCTCGAGGCAGATCCGGCAGGCGAAAGGCGACGTATCGGGTGTGCCGCCGCCATTCGATGTCGCGGTGGGAAGCGGAGCCACTGGAAGCGGAGCCGACGAATACAAACCCATACACAGAGCTAAAATGGAAACGACGCTAACTTCGTCTGGGGTGGTCAGAAAGCCAAGCGTTGGCGTCGTTGCACTACGGTGGCTTCGCGATCCAAGCTCGCGTCGTGAGGAAGTGTTCATTCATCGCACGAGGCATCTCTTGCATCCATCTGACTTGCCCTTCTTCCTACAAGCATCTCGTAGCTTCAGTTGATCACGTGGAGGCCTGAAAGAGGAGCTTGGCCCGGGTGTGGCCAGGGGGACCAATGCTGGCCCGCGGTTTCTCCGTTTCTCAACGCCGTTCACTCTCGCCCGTGAAGGCGAAAGGTGGACAGCAATGGTCGTCCGATCACTCTCGGCCCTTCTTCGACAAACGCACACTTGCCTTCGCCCCTCCTCGGCTCCGTGTGTCTATGAAGCATCTCATCGCCTGTTTGCTCGTCTGCGTTGCTGGCGTGTCCCTTGCCATCTGTAACCACCACCAGCAGCAGCATCGGTCTGATACGTCCAGCTCAGACACCGCCCGAATGCTACGTGCGCGCGCGAATGCCCGCGCCGGCAGCTCTCGGTACGGACACAAACTGGTGAATGTGGGCAACCCGAGGCTGTTCAACGTCGGCCAACCGGCACTCGTGTGTGCGGGAGACCCCAGGTAAGGGGGACAGCACTATGTCTGCTGTTCTCCCTCTCTCTATTGTGTGTGCGTTCTTGGATGGTTGGCTGTCTGTCTGTCTGTCAGTCTGGTGCGTGTGGGGTCCCCGTGTTTGATCTCTGCGGGCAACCCGTCGGTGGTGTCGGCCGGCAACCCCTCGGTGGTGTCTGCTGGCAACCCTTCCGTCGCACAAGCCGGAAACGTACGCACACCAGCCAGAGCACACAATGAAGAGCCGGGCATGCATTCATATCATGTGTATGGCGTGTCGTCTTGTGGGTCACTTTGTGCAGCCGTCGGTCGTGTCGGCGGGCAACCCGTCTGTGGCCTCTGCTGGCAACGTACGCACACAATGAAGCAAGGAAGCAGTGCATGCAGATGAAACTTAGACGTGGAGGCATGTCTGTCTTTGTGTGTGTTGTGCAGCCGGCGGTCGTGTCCGCAGGCAATCCGTCTGTCGCTGAGGCGGGCAATGTGAGTGCATTGCAATAGACCACACGACACCGACCAGAACGGACAAGTTTGTGCATCCCTCTCTCTCTCTCTCTCTCTGTCTGTGTGTCTGTGTGTCTGTGTGTCTGTGTGTGTGTGTGTGTATGCTGTGCAGCCGGCGGTTGTGTATGCGGGAAATCCGTCAGTGGTCGGGACGGACAACGGCTACTGGTACAATGGCTACTATTACCCATACTACCCATGAGGCCCTCTCTTCTGCCTTGCCAAGGCCTCTCGTTGATACATACCACTGTGTGTATAGAGCGTACGCATTTTGTGTGCCTTTCTTTGGGTGTTTTTGTCTTCCTTGTTGGTGTGAGCTTACTAGTTTTTCCAGAGTGACGTTTGTTCAAGAGGACACGAATACGTGTGAACGCCCCATGCAATGCTGTAATGTACAAGTGCAGAACGCAATCAGCTAATAAAGGAAACGAACACCACGGACCGATAAAACGACACAACGAGGAGAAATATGCCATAAACGACATACTGAATAGTGAGCCATTTTTCCTTTATGTCGGCCCAGCTCCCATAAACAACCTAAAACTGACCTCACCACAACAAATCCCTCTCACATCTCTCTCTCGGCTACTGTACACAAAGACAGACGCCTCCAATGCCCTCTGTCCAATCGGCCTGCCTTCCTAGTCCACAACGACCAGCCCGTCGTATCTCTTGTCCATGAGTGTGCTCAGCATCACCCCCTTCGGCGTGAAGTCCTCCAGCCGCCCATCCAGGAAGGCCGACAGCAGGTGGCCCGAGAAACCCGACAGCATCGCCACGTTCTCCTCGTCTGACACGGCCGGCTTGCTGCCGGACGCACGGAGGTTCCAGAAGACTATCTTGGGCATTGGGTAGCCAGCCAAGGCGTATTTCTGCTGAATGAGGTACAGGTCGGTAGCTCCTTTGAACTGAGGGCATGCTTGGTCGAACTCCCTGAGACCATGTCAATATTGGTGTGTCTGTGAGGTGCGCCTCAGTGCGTTCGTACATGTCGCTGAAGATGAAGAGCTGCTTGATCATATTCTCTGGCGGAACCTTCTTGTCAATCGCACGCTTCAGCAGCATGTCGAACACCAGCTGATGAGAGCAGAGACGCCACATTGAGAGAAGAGCGTCCACCCGTGTGTGTCCATCCCTCCATCTGTCTTACTTGCAGGTCGGTGTTCATCATCCAGTCCATGCGCATCACCGACTGCACCTTCTCCTTCAGCGTCACGTTCCCCTCGACCCAGTGGAAGGCAGGCGTCTGGCTGAATGTGATGAGGGCGTTACGCCAGGGCTCCTCGGATATCTCAGCGGTCAGCAGGCCGAGAGCGATGGCCACCTGGATGGGCGTCCCGTACATGGACCCGCTCACATCAACTATCGCTATCGAACTCGATCTGCATCAAGACATCCACAGACACACACAGGGGGAGAGGGAAGGGAATCCATGTTCATTGAGCAGCTGCATGAACGTGGGTGCGAGGTGCTCACAGTCCCTGGCCGCCACCTTTCTTCTTGAGGTCGTCGACATAGCGCTTCCACTGCTGCTCGTTGGTGTTCTCCTCTGCGACGCTGCCGTACTCGTAATGGTTGAGGAACGGCGCGATCAGCTCATGCGGCCGCAGAGCACCGGCCGCGATGGTCTCAGTGCCAGTCTCAACTGCTCCCAGAAACCTGCGAGTGTGGACATAGACATACGTCGGCAAGACGAGAGAGGCTCTGGCTGCGTGTGTGTGCACTTACTCGTTGAATCGTTCCTCGTCACGTCTGCAGCACGCAGTCAAAGAAAATACACACATTTGTATGGAGACATGCATCTTCCCGTTTGTGTGTGTGTGTGTGCGTGTGTGTATGGATGCGTGCAAGCGCACTCACTTGTTGAATGTCTTCTTGTAGTTGCGCATAGCAATGGACGGCACCCGCGAGTAGGGGATCTCAGACCACGTCCTCGCACTCATGTAACACTCGCACACCTGACTCGCAGCACGTAGCGGCGTCAGGTACCGCTTCCGATAGTTGTCCATCACGTCAATCAGGGTCACATTTTCCCTCTCGCCTTCATCCACCAGTTGGAAGGCAATTGTCGTGGCCAGGCCTGAGACGCAGTCGTGAGATTGTCCGATCGACGGCGCCCATTTGCCGCACAGCGAGACGGAGCGGTTGTTGTTCATGGCCTCGACGTCTTTGCGCAGCTGGGCTGCGTAGAGGCTGGCCACTTCCTGTCGTAGCATGGTGGTCCATGAGTCGGTCAGTTTCTCGGTCAGGCGCTGGTGCCGCTCTGCTCGCTTCTTGTAGCGGGCTGAGAGAGAACGAGACGCGCGTGATGGATGGATGGATGGATCTATTCTTCCTATTTAGTCGTGCGTTGGCCTGCTCCAGCGCCTGATTGGCCGCGATCCTTGATCGATCCCACTCGCACCACTGCCCCCAGCGATACTCAAACTCCTCAACGCTGCTCGTCGTCTCGTTGATCAGCGCCGTCGTCTCGTTCAGCATCTCTCTGCGGGCACGCTTGCGCTTCAATCGGCGGATATACGACCTGTACTTCGCCTCCTTTCGCTCGTAGAAGTTGGCGTTGTCGTGCTCGCGTCTGTCGCGGTATGGCTGGATGCCGGCGATGGCAATGGTGACGAGGTCCGCTGGTGCCTTCCAGGAGGAGTGGATAGGGATGTGCGGCAGATTGGCGAGCAGAGTCTGACGGAATATCGATGGACAGAGAAAGAGAGAAAGGCCAACAGACGGATGATGCATACACGTAAAGGGCAAATTTTTACCTTTGGATGGTTCTCCCACAGCCTGAGGACAGACACACAAAAGACTCAGCAATCAGTCAGTCATCCAATGTGGGCGGGCTGACCAGACAAGGGCCTCATAGAGATTGGGCCTGTCCGATTTGCCGTGTCTGGGGTCGCCGAGATGGAAGATGGCACGGAGGGTGGGTGTCGCGTTCGCCTGCCAGGCAGCCGCTAGCATCTCGCGCATGGTGTCGTGGTCAATCCCGGGCACACTGCAAACACAACAGATTCAGATGCATGGTGCTGATCACCTCTTGCTCTTGTTCTTGTTTCCGACCACTCGAAGAAGAAGTCGAGCGTCGGATCGGATGTGCTGCTGTAGGTCCATCCTTCGTTCTCTGCATGACCAGGGACACCATTGGACACACCCGCCGCATCCATTCATCGAACGAACCGCTGACCTGTCGTGGTGATGAGTTCTGGGTGCTTGATGTTGGTCGGGGGCTGCACCAGCCAGTCAATCGACGGCTGCGCATCTTCCGTGTCGTAGCCGTACAGATCGTCAGCTAACGTGCCATACTGGGGGTGGTGGTTAGCATACTCGTACAGCTCAACGGCCGACGGCTCATCAGCTGTCTGAGCATGGCGATGCGTCCGAGCGCTGACGACAGATCTTCCCTTTCCGAGCGGCCGGAGAGATGGATGTCGAAAGCCAAAGGAAGAGGCTAGAAGGCACAACCACACCAGAAACGCCAGAGGCGGGCTGATCATGAGTGCATTCATCTCGCGCGTGTCGAGGTGTCGAGGGACGATGTGTTTTGTCGCCGGCAGAGATCTCTGGATCAGGGACCTTGATGACACCGGAATTGGATGACAAGAGCCACAAGGGACCGGGAAGGAAGAAGGCGGAGATCCGCATTCGAAATTTAAAGCTCGCAGGTGGGGGGCAGGGGGGCGTCTCGCCGTCCTCAAGTTGCACTCGGGCCGGCCATGATGGGGCTGGCCTTCTGCAGTGCATTCCTCTTCGCTCTCCAGCTGGGAACGGCGTCGTCCATCTGCCAGGAAGCTGATTGCGAAGTCACACCCGATTGGTTCATTTCGGCGGACGAATCGGAGACAAGCGCTGACCTTCCCCGCAACGTGATCGTGCTGTTCGATGGCAGCGGCAAGAACAGAGACAGGGAGACGCCCAAGGAATGGGGGAACATTCCACTCATAGCAGACAGCATCGACCCCTTCATAGCGGGTAGGGGTGTGTGACATCGTCCAAATGACCCACTCAAACGCTGGATGGGTGGCATGAATGCATGTAGGTGGGCAGCAGTTGGTCAAGTATCACCGTGGCGTCGGCAGGGAGAAGTTCAGCGAGCCGAAAGAGCTGTTTGCGTTCATGACCGGAGCAGGGTTCGTCAAAAGCGTCTTGGACGCAATCGAGTGGCTCATGGACATTGGGCTGACGAAGGAGGACAGACTGTTCATGTTTGGCTTCTCTCGAGGGGCGCTGCAGGCCCGGCTCCTCCAAGGTGATGCCCGAAGACCTGACGTATCAATCTCATGTCTCTATCTCGATCACGCAGGGCTCCTCTTCACGTTTGGCCTTCCGGCTGACAAGAAGAATGAACTTGCCTTCCTCCAAGAGAAAAAGTCCGATCTGGTCCAGAAGTTCGCGTACTTACATGAGGACGGACCAGGCACGGAGTACATGGCGGACGATGAGCGGAAGAGGGACACTCACTTTGTCGGTCTCTTTGACGCCGTGGCCGACACAGTCGCACTGCTCTACAACGTCCAGAGTACACTCGGAAGGATGCTCACGTCTCACTTCTGAACGTGGATCTGTCCTGGTTGTCGGCTGCAGGGCTGGTCCTCGATATTGCACCGACAACGAAATATGTCTACCATGCCATGTCTCTGGATGAGTGAGTGGGCGGCAATGGTGCACAACTTAACACTTATACATTACAGAGACATACGTCTGTGTGCCCTGCGCTTCTCGTGCAGGCTTCGGGGGACTTTCGAGGCGTTTCCCATCACTTTCGATCCGTCTGCCTATGCCACAAGCCGGCCGACAAACAGGACAGCAAAGGCACAGGTGGGGTGAGTCCCTCTCAAAGGCGACGCCGCATCTCCATCGCCCATTGTGCCATCAGGTGCCGCACATCGAAAACCTCTGGTTTGAAGGTGATCACAAGGACGTTGGCGGTGGCCTCGACGACATCGATCGCATCGCCGACATACCTCTCAGGCAAGCCAAAGGTCCACAACAGATCATGGAAGCTTTGCGTTGACAGGGGTCTCTTTGCCTGTCTGCCTCTCACTTCGATCAGGTGGATGCTACAGAAAGCGGAGTCTGCGGGTCTAAAGCTGACGGCCAATTGGCAGAAGAGCATCCCTCCGTACATGGAACTCGTCGCCGCGAAAGCTCATAACGAGTCAAAACTAAAGCAGTGGCAGGTGAGTGGAGGAAGAACTAACAGCTATTGCCTTTGCATGCCAGTGTGTTTGTTTCAGGACATCCAATGGCAAGGTCGGTGCCACCGAGGCCATATGTGTGGGCATAAACACAGGTTCTGTCTGTGCGTGAGCAGGTCCCTTGGTTGGGAAGGTCTGGGACGACATGAGAAAGCAGGCTGTCGAAACGAGGCCACGATGGGCGTTCAAGTGCTCTGCTTCTGGCGGGAATGTCCTGAAGATGGCAAGACCGCTGCTGCATCGATCCGTCCTCGACCGCTTCCATCTCCGGTAGGCGCACACACACACAAGTAATGCGTGTCTGTACATGTCTCTCTCCGTTTCTGTGTGTGTCTGGCCGATCGATGCGATCGATCAGGATGGAGTTGCCTCGGCCGTTGTGCTGCCAGCAGTTCCGCCTTCTCGACAGGCCGCTGTACTCGGACGAGAAAGTCAATGAGCCAACCGATCATGTGGCCAACACGATCCGCTTCGTCCCGAAGGAGACACGTCCGGACGGCCTCAAGAAATACGACATCGAGACCAAGACGACCGGTGGCACACTGATGATCTACCATGTGCTGTTCACGCCCGCCGAGCCCGCCGTCCCCATCAAGTTTCCCGACGACACGTGGCATGCCGTCTCCGATTCGCCTACCTGCCAGGACCCCCAGTTGCTGTTCGCGTGCTGTGTGAGGGAGCGCATGAGGCCGACGTGCAGTGTGGACGAGTTGCAAGGCGGGATGGCGAGATTCAAGAAAGCCGAGAGTGAGAGAGAACAGCTGTGCAAGGGAAGACCCCGTTGAAGTGAGTGAGTGGAAGAGACACATGCAGTGCAAGCGGACGACAGCATGGATGAGAGACAGAACAGACACCTGCGATGAATCGATTCTTGGTTCTGTCTGAATCTGCGTGGGAGGGAGATATTTGAGTGAGGGACGGACGGAGGGACACTTCAAAGCCCCATTTTGAATTAGACAGGGGATGGGAGGCACAGCCCCACACACGAATGGCAGAGGCAGAACAGAGGAGGACAGATGAGCCCACGAGACCAGCCAGGACCGATCAGCCAGCTGGTCAGGCGAGACAGACTCGAGGCAGACACACAAAACACAGCCGGCCGGTCAGTCGTCCAGACGGCCACACGCAGAGAGCGCGACCAACAAACAGACAGACAGACAGACAATGAGAAGAGAGAGGGGCGATGCACTCCCTCCTCTCCGATCAAACCCGATACACAGTCAGCCAGGCAAGAGGGAAGAGCCCCCGGCCACACACACGAGTTTATGACAAAAACAGCCACCCCCACATGTGTGTGTGTGTGGATTCTCTCCTACTCTATGCTGTACCAAACGCAGCTCAACGTAAGGGACGTAGCTGTCTGGACGGAAGGTTGAAAGACGCTTCAGTCGCTGCTAGCCCACTGCATGTCTGTCCAGTCGCTGCAGAGAAAGCAGCAGAGCAGATATCGGTTGTGGTGAGACAGAATTGAGTGAAGGATGTCTCGCCAACCAGAGTGAGTGAGGTGATGATGTTTGGAATGGATTGAGTGCCCTTTGAGTGACGCTTCAGATGCGCCAAATGCGGTCTGGCGCGGTGCCTTGGTTGCTGAGAACGGAGCGGCTGTTGTGGAGGGGTGACACTGTCAGTTGAGAATGAAAGAGAGCGAGTGAGGAGCTGCTGCTTGGTGTGTGTGAGGCTCTCAACTGGCCGGTTCACATTTGGTCCACATGCAATGGTCGAGATTCAGACCATTGCATCTCGAGATTCTCGACCATTACTACGGAGGCAACTCATTACTGGAGATATTTCATTTCATTTTCGGCGTCCTCATGACCACAGTCAGAGTCCCCTCAACGCCTGATGAGCCCGCCTGGTGTCATGAAATCCGTGCCTGCCGTCGGAAATGAGTCTCCTCCATTGGCCGGCCTCGCCTGCGGGGGAGATGGCGAACAATTGATGGCGAGTGGGGGCGCGTTGAATTAAGGCGCCCTCACCCATGCCAGGCAAACACATTTCCATCACCACAACGCACACACACGCACACAGACAGACAGAGAGATAGAGAGAGAGAGAGAGAGAGAGAGGAGGGACGTCTGTGTCTGTGTGTGTTGATGCGCAGTTCACGAGACCTTCTTCAGCCGCATTTGCGCCGACGAGGACAGCCAGTCCGACCAGACCAGGACGACGAATCATCTCCTTCACGTACACACACAAACTCTCGGGGGAGAGAGAGCGGAAGAAGGACAGAGAGGCACGCAGAGATACCCATAAGGATGTGTGTGCGAATGGGTGTAGTGACTCCTCTGCGAAATGCAGCAAGTGCGGCCCCATCTTCCGCTGGTGGTGGTGACGCAGAGGGAGGCGCCTCGGCGTCTGCTTAATCGGCACCGGCATCGGCATCATCGTCGTCTGCGCCAAGGGACAGCCAAGTGTGCCAGGTACATCCCTTGGCGGGGGGCATGTCCCTCTCCAGCCGCTCTCTCTCATCGTCATCTGCCTCTGCTGCTGATGACAGCAACAACACCAGCCAAAGGCCCCCTCAGCAGCAGCAGGCATCGTCATCCATGAGTCTGTTGTCCCGCAATCCCTTCCTGCCCGACAAAAATGCGTCCAGCAACAGCACATCACCCTGCCCACCAGCAGCTGCTGCTGCTGCCTCTTCTTCCGCCGCTGCCTCTTCTTCCGCCGCTGCCGCTGCCGCTGCTGCTGGTGGTGGTGGTGGTAGTGAACCGCCCCCTCTCATACCAGAGGGAAACGCCTCGGCGTCTGCTTCATCGGCAAGGGACAGCCAAGTGTGCCAGGTACGTGTGCACCTGACACCCAGAGGGACCGTCCGGATGGCTGTGAGTGTGCGTGAGTGCGTGTGTGTATGTGTTTGTGTGTGTGGCCGGTTTGTTCATCATCAGTCATGTCAGTACACCCTCTTGAGCAGCTCGTCAGCCCTGACTGCATCGTACTCACACACACACACACATAGTGCCTTCTCAGTGCGTCAACCAACCAATCGTGTGTGTCTCTCCCTCAGGTCCCCGAAGACCCACGACGAGGACCGCGGCGAAGGAGAGGAAGGTGGGCGAAAGGAGAAAGGAATGCATTGACACAGACTTTATGCACTCAGAACATTGTCTTGATCGTGGCACGTACAGATCGCTGCTTGCATTTTATATTTGTGAGTCACTTCGTCCAATGGAGGAGTCCCGCCGGCCGATCCGGATCCTGAGGACGGCTCGGAGCAGTGGAGAGAGGGAAGGGGGGGAAAACGAGGAAGAGGGTAGGGACGTGTCCCACACCGTTAAGTGCGGCACTTTTCTCGTCCCCAGAGACGCCAGATGGGTACCCATGCACATCCACCCACAGTCACCACACCACAGCAGAGAGCCATTGATGGACGTTATATCTCTCTGTTGTGTGTTGTGCGTAGGCCACGTGCCCTGCGTGTCAGAAGGTGTTCTGCCCCCACTGCTCCCGCGAGGTATGCACACAGAGCTGCCACGGCACGTGGGAGAGTTGGAAGGCGCAGGCAGAGCACTCAAGATTGCCTTCCCTCCCTTGAAGCTATCACCAAGTGGAAGATCCGGATCCTCATGCCTCTGCTGATACCGCTGGTGATATGTGCCATACTGACCATCATCTCGACCAACCGCAAATGTGTCCTGGAATGATGGCCACCACAGACGTACGTGTGTCAGCGGAATCAAGTGGGGAAAGCAGCCGTCCCGACGGCACACATTCGGCGTGAGGACGTCTCGGAGGAACGAGGAGAGGGGGATGGAGCGGGATCTGGGGATGGAGAGTGCCGTCAGACTCTGCAGCTGCTGCTCAGAGTCCGTGAAGGAGAAGACAAACGTAAGAGAGACCATGGAGAGGGAGAGAAGTCGTCGAGCCACCACATACAGCCGCTCCGCTACGAGACCCACTCGACCTGTGAGACTTCCCCCCAGTGGTACGACGATGTCGGCTCGGATGAAGACTGGCCTTTGAGTGTGCTATGCTCCGTCTATCGCTCGCCGGCAATGTGCGGTCCCTCGACGTCACCTGACGGGGGTCGGGACGCCGCCTCGCCCGTCTCCTCTCGCCGGTAAGCCGTAGGTGCAGCCAGGCAGAGGAGATCACAGACAGCCATTCAGCAAGCCACGGACATCCCTTTGTCTCTCTTCTCGCTTTGTGTGTGTTTGGTGTGATGTGTGTGTGTGCGTGTGTGCAGGTTTGCTTACCTTCAGTCCCTGCCCGTTCTGCTGTTGGTCGGCGTGCTGCTGCCGTCGCCCTATATGGTATGCAGCGCATATGCGGTCTTCTGCGCGGACCATTCTGTCTCTTCCTCTCCCTCCCTCTCTGTCTGGCTGTTTGTTTATGCGTGCAGCGCTCCACCTACATAATGCCGACGCCCTGCACACCAAGCTGGCTCTGTTTGCTGGCCTCTTTGGACTCTTAGCTCTGGCAGTGCCACTGCCAGTAGGCGCGTTCTGTGGAAAGGAGCGGGTGTGGTCCGGGGCTTGGAGATTCTGTTGGCGTTGTGGCGGTGGGCTGTTGGGTCGGGACGGACACGAGAATGGAATGGTGCGTGCTAGCAATCGGTGGGATTGTGTGCTCACTTTCTCGCTTTCTCGTCTGTCCGCAGTGGTAATACATGAGAGGAGCGACGGTCAGTTAGTGCCGCGTCATTCATGCATTCATTCATTCATTCATTCATATGCGTTCTCTCTGTTGCATGTCGTGCGCAGGCCACGTGTCTCGTGTGTCAGAAGGTGTTCTGCCCCCACTGCTCAGCGAGGTACGCACACGAAAGCACACAGGAACGTACACACGCACACATACACCCGCATCTTCTTCTTGTGTCTCTCTGTGTTTCTCTCTATGTCGGTGAAAACACGCAGGCGCATGACGGCTTGACGTGCGAGGAGGCTGCGGCGGCCTCGGCCGCTGAGGGCGACAGGCAGCTAAGCTCGCTCGGAGAGCGAGAGGGATGGAAGGTGGGGCATCAACCACACACGGCACACACATGCCCTTCACACACACATCCGTGTGCGATGTTGTGTCTCCTTCCGTCAGCGGTGTCCGAGGTGCAGGACGATGTGCGAGAAGGCCAGGGGGTGCAACTTCATGAAATGCGAGGTGTGACCTATGCAAGACATACACACACGTCTATCCATGTGGCTGCCTGCGTGTGTGTGTGTGTGTGTGTGCGTTCAGAGTTCGCAATGTCGCGGCCAGGGAGTCTACTTCTGCTACATCTGTGGGGTACAACTCCCAATCGAGGAGATATGGATAAGTCACACTCACACATGAGAGGGGGAGACCACACACATACAAACAAAAGAGACACACACAGACTCACACACAACCGATGCGATTCGAGGTGTGTGTGCGTGTCTGCAGCACTACAGCCACTTCCCGAATGGCCCGTACGAGTACTGTTGCGTGAATGTTCCCCAACCGGCCCGACTACCGCCGAGTGAACAACCAGGTACGGATGGATGTACGGCTGTCACCGGGCTGTGTGCGTATGTGCGACTGACCGTGTGTGTAGAGTTGCTGCCCAATTTGCCCCCCGACAACCCCGCCCCGCCTGATGCCCTTACTGACCCGCCCGCCTTCTCTGCCGCCTTCCCTGACGCCATCAACGACCCAGGTACATACGATCAGTGTGTGTCTGTACTCGTTCGTGTATGTGTGTGTGTGTGTGTGTTGTGTTCAGGCATCCGACCACTGGGTCCCCTGGGCGCCCGGTCGGTCGCCGGCATACGGCGAGTGGGAAGAGACCTGCTCAACCAAAGGCTGCACAGTGAGTGGGTGGCTGGGATGGATGGATGGATGTACTGCTCTATGTGTATGTGTGTATGTGTGACTGACCGTGTGTGTAGACGTGCTGCCTGGTGCTGACCCTCCGGCTGACCTGCCTGTCCCCTGACCCTCCTGCTCCCCTCCCTGACCGACCGGCGCTTCAAGCGGCTTCGGTGGTGCACTTCACAGTCAATTACATGACAGGGGTGAGTGAGTGGCCGAGGGGATAACGACAATCATGGCCATCTCTCTCGTTTCTGTGTCTGTGTGTTTGTGTGTGTGCGTCGAATACCCTCCAGCCGGGGCAGGACATCTACGTCGTGGGGTCCACCGGCCCGCGCCGCCCCAATGAGGTGGACGGCGGGGCACAACTGGACATGTTCACTTGATCTGCCACAACAGCGTAAGACACACACACACACATACACACACACACACAGAGAGAGAGAGAGAGAGATGTCTCCTCTTGTGCCGCGCCTGTCCATATTTGTGTATGTGTGTGTGTGTCGATTCAGCGATAGAATACAAGTTTCTTGTGAATGAGGGCGACAGAGTCGAGTGGGAATTTGGGGAGAACCACGAGATGGGCAGGCAAGACCAAGACGGACCACACACACACACGCGTTGAGACACGACGTCTTTGTGTTGGTGTGTCTTCTTTGCTTGGCGAATGCAATGACTGCAGCTCGAGGTCTTGGAGGAAGACACAGAGGTGCTGGACTGGTGGGGGCAGGGCTGAGGGGTGCGAGGGGGAAGAACATCAAGCTGTGATGGGGTGAGCTGCGTTTGATCACCCTGCAGTAGGAGAAGGGCTCCACACACGATTGCCTTCCTTTGATGCGCTGCTTTGTATAACAGCATGGCTGTCTACATTTTATAGTCGCGCGGCCTGTGGCTCACTTTTACCGAATCAATCGCCATCGACTCCGAATCAACCGGAGCTTGTGATGGAGTGGCCTGTGTGTGAAGCACTGCCATGTTTTTGTCATCGTCAGCCCACGGATACGCACTCGACCAGGTGAAGTCGCAACGGTTTCATCAGTCTCGCAGACACGTGAAACTGTACATGTGCCTGTTTGCTGCAGGGGGTTCCTGCAGGGGAAGCCAGTCAAGCGGAAGCTCGGCAAGCACCACATACTTGTATGTGGTGCTTGCCGAAACGGTGTGTATGCGCTTAATTACCTGCTGCTGGTCTGCCTGCTTTCACACTGCATGGTTTGAGGCAGGCAGGCACGACGCGACGAGAGACAACACCAGTGTGTGTGTGAATAATGGGAGGGAGAATGAGGCCTACACACAGCCATCTCGCTCGCTCGCTGCGAACCCGCCACACACACACACACAGGCCGAGGCTGATTGGTTGACCAGCTACTTGTGTGTGGCGATCTCTCCCCGTCTCCTAAGATTATTTATTGGCTCCAATCAGAAGACTCATTTACTCGACGGACGCACAAACGAGTCACTTGTTGACTAATGGCGTGTGTCTCATATCATGAACACACACGCACACATCGACAGCCACACACTCACGCAGTTCGAGAGCCAGCTGGGTCGATGAGTCGTCTGGTCTCGCCCTCCCCATCGAGCACCGCCATTGAGCAGAACCAAACTCACCCTCCACCATTAATGCAGTGAGTGCCTCGTGGGAGGGGACGGGCTGGTGTGTGTCGGCTGTGTCTTTCCTGACTGCTTAGACGTGTCGACAGCAGACAAATCGATGCGATTGAGTCAATGCAGTGAGACACATTATTACATCTCGTCGACACAACTTGATGGACACGGCTACGTCGAGTCGATGTCCACACGCACACACGCACATTCACCCCGATGAGGTCTGCCTGCCTGCCGACAGTCACAGACACTAAGGATATCAGCCGGCCGTCGCTGAGCCCCAACTTGAGGCCACCAGACAGACGCCCACTGGATAAGAATCATGACGATGGCATTAAGACATCGGTGTGCCAATCACTCCAGGAGTGAAAGCGTCGTCATGGCAGCTCAACAAAAAATCGTCAGCAGGGCGTGGGAGAGACGTAAAGTCTCTCTCGACCAACAGCACGACCCACAGGCAGCAGCATCAGCACACTCACGGCAGACACAAAGGGCCACGGGCGGCTGATAGGCACACACGCGACAAAGGCAGCGACATCAGCCACACACACACTGAGCGATAAACCATCCCGACAACGGCAGGCACAAAGAGGCCCATCAGTGTGTGAGCCGTCGTGTGCTGTCTCTCTTTGGTTGAGCGAAAGTCTGCCTATGGTACACACAGAACATAGCACCCACTCGTGTGTCGCCTCCAGCCAGCGACGGGCCGACCGACCGGCCCCCTCACAAACATTGAGACAACTCTTCCCCTCCCAACAGCACGACCAACACCATTCAACACACGCACAGCGAGAGAGACTGTGAGGCAGCCACACAGACAAAACTCCCCCGCTCATAGCAGACAGACAGACGGCGGGGGAGAGAGGGGACACGCACACAAAATACCCCTATGGCTAACCCGCCCTCCTTCGCTGAAAACGGAGGCACACACAAGGCCAGTCAACGAGTGAAGAGCCCCCGGCTACGGACATGAGTGTGTGACACACAGCCGTCCCCACGTGTGTGTGTGTGTGTGCACTCTCCCCTACCATATGCTGACCAAACGCAGCTCAATGTAGGGGGGATCATACGTGGGTAAGCCGCCATAATACCTGATGTTTGGCGCTTTGATCTGCCTCATCTCCCCCTCACGCATAGACAGCATCGCCTCACGACACCACCCAAACAGATCAGACACACGACACACCTGCCGACGGCCATCGTAGACCTTGTCACGGCCGTCGAATCCATCACGCCACTCAACCCGGTCGAACGTGACGTGGTCGCTGGCCCTGGGCACTCTGCCGGTGCCCTCTTCCACCACCTCATACCTCTCACCCCCTGGCAATGTGCCAGTCCGACGGCGTAGAGTGGCGCCGCCGCCAATGAAGGGACTGTCAACGACGCACACACACACAGAGAGAGAGAGAGCGCGCAGACACAAAGCCAATCACCATCCACGCACGAGGCATGAGCAAGAGAGACGCAAGGGCTCCTCACCTCTGGTTGTTCGGTAGCCTTTGCCCTATCGGCAGGGCAGTGGGCGGGCTGGTGCTGAAGTCGAGGAAGCGGACGCCCTTATTGCCCTCTGCCAGCCGGGTCACAATCACCTCGCCACTCAGAGGGCTCGTGACTTCGATGAACAGCTCGCCCGGCCGATTGGGGTACTCAAAGACGTTCTTCTCGCCCCACACAGTGATGCCCACCCACCCGAGGCCAGCTGCCAACGCCATGATGCCTGCTGTGATACCTGTCACAGAGTCTGGATAATCCATCAGATCTCTCTCTCGTTTGCAATCTGCACGTGTGCTGCCTCTCTGTGGCTCACCCTGTGTGCTCACCCTCCTTTCCCGTTTTGCCGCAGAAACACTTCCGATCGGCAGCTGAGCTCGCAGGCAACGGGGTGAAACAGACAGACAACGACTAGGGGCGTTCGCCGACAGGCCGCTTTTCCTTGCGGCGCGAGCAACTTTGGCCCGAGATCTTCGCATACCTCACCCACCTTCCCTGAGCCATTGTGGGCGATGCCGCAGCAATCCGCTCTACTTCTTCCCGCGGGAGTCATCGTCTCGGCGTTGGCCAGCACGTTTCAATCTCCCCTGGTGGCTCGCCCGCTCGAGGCCGTCACTCCAATCCATTCCACAGCCCGTGGGAAGGCCACACATTACCTCTCACAGCCCATTGCGGCCCAGACGGGCAATCAGGGGCAAAGCCAAGACTCTCACACTCAATTGGACGCCGAAAAGGTCAATCAAAATGAATGATCAAAAGACCTGCTCAGCCTTCTGAATATGCTCTCCCTGTGTGTTGTCGCAGAGCTCTGGCAAGGACGAGCGGAACACGTCCGAGCCATCAGACAGCACCTTGCCGTCGAGTGGTCCTCTTCCCCCAACCGATGGTCAGAAAGGTCGTCAGCCACAACACGAGTGCAAGAGCATCCCTCTCTGTGGGTTTGCGTGTGTGTGTGTGGGCTGGTTGCAGGTGCTCCTCTGCAAGTCATGAACTTCATCAACTACGGAGACGAGCAAGTCGCTGAGAAGTGGCTGGGGGTTCCTTTCCGCCGAGCTTCTGCCACCCCTGGTCAGTCAGCGAACCAGTGATAGCGAGGCGGAAATGAGATCACCCCACCCACATGTCTGTATCGCTGTGCACCCGGTCCATGCAGCTCCCAGCGAAGGCCCCCCTCCAATCACAATCACTGGACTGGAGACTCCAGTGGAGCGCATTTCCAAGGGCGTTTCCAATGGCGGCCTGGGCTTTCTGGTAGGGGCCATCGGCTTGTCCATCGGGATCATCTTCTGTGGTTTTGGCCTCGTCCTCTTCGGCCTTAATCAGGCCGGCATCAATGGTGTGGGTGCGATCATCGCCGCACTCGCATTCTTGGGTGTGGCCTTGGGTGTGGCGTTTGTCCTGGTGATGATGTTAAAATCACTGGGGTAGGCACCACGGCGTCGTGACACACCGTACGTGTGAGACAGCTAGACAGACAGGTGCTTAGAGGGGGGGAAGGGCTGGTGGGGGCGACTATCTCCCTTGTACAGACATACGGTTTTGCTTACTTGACTCATGGGACTGTCTCATGGGAGGGAGGGAGGGAGGGAGGGGAGAGGAGAGGCAGCGGGTGTGTAACGTCTGGTACTCTCTTGGGGCTCGGATTCCACTGGCTGACGTCGTTTCTGTCTGTGAGTGTCGACAGGCAGAAAACACGTCAGCCGATCGACACCCTGAGCCGCGAGAGACCACATAGACACACCTGCATTGAGTGGCTGGGCGGGCAAGGCAAGTGACCAGTGCGTCTGAATGAGGGAGGGTATCATGATGTCGTGATGCATGTGGCGGGTGGGCGGTGTGGTCCGTCGGCCGGAGATCAACGGCCTGGAGGGCAGGGTGGGGGAGGTCCTGCCGCCACACACACAACTCAACAAATCGGACGTCACACGGTGGGGGTCACACGCAGACGAAAGTGGTTACACAGACAGGCCCGCATGTGTCTGTCTGTCTGTCTGTTTGTCTGTGTGTGTGTGTGTGCAGGTACCGTGTTAGTCTGTCAGTGTGCGCCACACACGAGCTGTCACTGCGTGGCGACAATGTGCTGCGGATTCCCCGGGCTGCGCGCGACCCGCTGAGCCACCTGGTGGCCTCACTCACCGGCATGCACATCAACTGACTAACGGCCTGACTGCCTGACTTGGTGGGCGGGCGGCCCGCGGGTGGGCAGCCATGGCCATATCATCTCTACCTGTGTCCCTTTGTGGGCTGCGGACGGCATTTGGCTGAGGCTGCTGCGCTGCATGGCGCGGCCGCTGTGTGTATACGAGTGAGACCCCATCCATGCCTTCTGACTACTGTCGTGTGTCGTGTCACACACACCGATGGGCCGGTGACTCGTCCTCGATCGGTCACCCCACACACATGGGGGCGCACGAATGACAGACACTGGGAAGACAGCGGCTGTGAGATGATACACCCGACGTTACACCCGTCGATCGAGTCGTGTCTGTTCCACGTTTGTTGCATGAAAAGCAATCACATACACATCACAACTGTGTGCGCTTTCAACAGTCGACAAGTCACACAGACAAATAAACACACACCCGCAGCCGGCATTAAGTGGATGGATGGACGACGGCAGTGGCTTCTGTGCCTGTCTGAGAATGAGTGTACAACGCCGTGGTGATGGACTCAGTGGGTGTGTGTTGTTCTTTGAGTGTTCTTTGAGTGGTACGCCATGCTCTTCAGAGGGCTTCTCTGTCGAGCGGGGCATAGCCAACAGAGAATACCAGCCGTTTACACACACATTGGTGGGTGTGTGGTGTGTGGACAAAGGACTGGTGGGTGCATGAGGGACGGATCGATGCAGTCGATTGATTGACACCCATGATACAGTCAGTAGGTCGATACACATTCATGCCTCTCTCGCCCCACACACAGAAATCATCGATGTGTGACATTCACATATCGATGATTTCTGTGTGTGTGTGGCTATCTGCACAGATAATGATGCTTTCTCTCCTCCACAGACCGGCAGACAGACAGGCGGTTGGATAAAAGGCAAACACACCACACAACCAGCTCACGGCCATCATAAGGTGTGGCGTGATTGGTGTACAGGCAGACGGCTTTCCACAACAATGACAGACAGAAAGCCGAACCATCACCCGGCCCCCTCTCAACAATAACACCCGCACACCCAGTACACACATCGCCCTCTTTGCACACAGTCAGACAGACGACGAGTGAAGAGCCCCCGGCCACACACATGAGTGTGTGACACACACGACCGCCCCCACATGTGTGTGTGTGTGTGTGGACTCTCTCCTACTCTATGCTGACCAGCCGGAGCTGCCAGTAGGGGACACATTTCTCGTCGGGCACTGTGATCTGCCTGACCTCCCCCTCACGCATCGACAGCATCGCCTCACGCCACCACCCACCATAATCAGACACACATCCACCTCCCTACGTTCATCGAAGGCTTTGTCCCGGCCATCGAATGCATCCTTCCACGCAATGATGTCGAACTTGACGGTGTCGCTGGCCTTGGGCACTCTGCCGGTGCCCTCCTGCACCACTCGATGGCGGGCGCCGGAGGGAAGTCGGACAAAGCCATTGCCGTTGCGGTTGGCGACTGACGATGAGCCCTCTTGCCGCTGACGCAGTGTGGCCCCGCCGCCATTGCTGCCAGCCGCTGCTGCACTGCACACACAGATTTGGTGCAGACACAGCACAAAGAGATCTGATCTGTGTGATGGCCTCTGCCCCTCGTCGCCTACGTGAGCTGTCTGAGGTCGTCTGTGATGTCGGCCGCCAGTTTGATGTCGCCGTAGTGCTCCGGGCGGATGGCCATCTGCTGCCCTTTGGCCGTGTAGTAGAAGCCGCCGCGGCCGTCGGTGAAGGTGTTGCGGCCCCAAAACAGGCCGACCAGCCGATCACTCATCGCGACGAGAGGCTGCTGATGATCCCACTGCACAAATACAGAGGACACAGACAGAGCGATGAATGAGAGAGAGATCTGTCACTGCATCGATCTGTAATGCTTCTTTGTTGACCTCTCGAGTGTTTGTCTGCCCACAGGCCGATGGATTACCGATGGCCGGCAATGCCCTCTTGCCTGAGCACATCAACATGCACCACGGGAGAGGGACACAGAAAATGAGTTTGCGGCCCAGATCTTCGTTATTTTCGGTTGCCTGAGGCCTCCCTGACCCACCTGATGGGAGAAATGATGCCAAACAGTTCCGCGGGAGGATCTGCGAGCTTAGATGACGGTCAACTCTGGAGGATTGAAGGAGCATTGAAGGCGACCAAGGACACAGACAGCCCACAGGGTGAGCCACAGAGAGGCAGCACACGTGTAGACTGCAGAAAAGAGCGAGATCTGATGCCTTGTGTATTGCCTCTTTGTGTGTTCTTGTGTGAGTCTGTAGGCATCCGTCATGGCCTTGGTGGCTCCCGGCCGCAGGTGGGTCGGATCCACGGTGTGGGGCGACGGGCGGGTGTACGAGTACCCCAATCGGCCGGGCGAGTACGTCTATGACGAGCGGCGCCCATCTGACGGAAGCCTCATGGAGGTCCGCATCGCCAATCCCCGGGGGCGCGTGGCCTTCTTCGACTTCAACACCAATCCGCCGACACTGCTGCCGTTGACGCAACGACCACCGAACAATCAGATGTAGGCAAGAAGCACACCTCCTTCTCACTTATTCCTGGCATTGTGTCGGCTTTGTGTCTGTTCGTTTGTGTGTGTCATCGGCAGTCTCGCCAATGGCGGTGGCTCCACTCTGCGCCGTCGAGTGGGCGCACTGCCATCATCTGGCTTGGGAGGCTACCCGAGGTGAGGAGCCCCTTGCCTCTCTCTTGCTTTCGTGTGGATGGTCATCGGCTTTGTGTCTGTGTGTGCAGTGCAGCGGCGGTTGGCGGCGGCAATGGCGTCGGCAATGGCGTCGGTGCCACACTGCGTCAGCGGCAGGAGAGCTCATCGCCACAGCAGCCGCCGGCCAATCGCAGCAGTGTCGGCCGTCGGACCGGCACACTACCATCGTCTGGCTGGCGATATGAGGTGGTGGAGGAGGGCACCGGCAGAGTGCCCACACTCAATGACTGCGTCAAGATTGACTGGATTGCGTGGCGTGATGGATTCGACGGCCGGGACATACGCGACGATGTCCGTGGGAAGGTGATCCGTGTGTCTGATTGGCCTGAGTGGGAGCGTGAGGCGGTGCTGTCGATGCGGGTGGGCGAGATTAGGCGAATCAAACTGCCAAATGACTATTTTGCCCCCTACGTTCAGCTGCGTTTGGTCAGCTCTATCGTTCAGCTGCGTTTGGTCAGCATAAAGCAGAAGAGAGTCCACACACACACACACACGGGGGGGCGCCTGTGTGTGTCGCACACTCATGTGTGTGGCCTGTCTCTTCTTAATTGTCTGTCTCTGTGCTTGGGTTTCGAACCAAGGAGTGAGAGTGTCGTGACTCAGCCGTGGCAGTATACATGTGTGTGTCGTTGAATGTGCAACATGTTTGCCAGGCAGCAAGAAGGGGGATGTCTGTGTGGGTGTCCCCTCTCTCCCTCACCGTCTGTCTGTCTGCTATGAGTGGGGAGTGCGTGTCGTCTGAGTAGCCGCTTTGTTTATCGGTCGGCCGGTTACTCACAGTCTCTCTCTCTCTCTCTCTCGGTGTGTCGGTGTGTGTGTATGTGTGTGTCCAAAAGGGAGGTTGATTCTTTCGATGTCTGTGTGTGTCTGCCTTATTCACTCTTTTCGCTCTCAGATGTCACGTCATAGACGAAGATCACCGTATGGCTACCGATATGAGGTGGTGCAGGAGGGCTACGGCAGAGTGCCGACACGCAACGACGCCGTCAAGATCGACGAGATTTGGTGTCGTGATGCATTCGATGGCCAGGACAAGTTCATCGATCGCCGTGGGTATGTGAGTCCTGTGGGTGCTCGGGATGGGTGGGCTCGTGCGGCGGTGCTGTCGATGCGGGAGGGAGAGGTCAGGCAGATCATACTGCCACCCGGATACAGTGCCCCCTTTTATCAGATGCGTTTGATCAGCATAGAGTAGGAGAGACTGCACACGCACACACACGTGGGGGCGGCTGTGTGTGACACACACTCATGTGTGTGGCCGGGGGCTCCTCGCTCGTCACCTGGCTGACTGTCTGGTTCTGTCCTTTGGTTTCGAGCGTAGGAGTGAGTACGTTGTCTGTGTGCAATGAGTGGATTAGCGCGTGATTTTTGTCTGTGTGGCTGCCTCGAAGTCTCTCTCGCTGGGTGTGTGTGTGTGTGTGTGTGTGCTTAATGGTGTTGGTCGTGCTGTGTCGGCAGGGGAGGGGAGGGAAGGGTGTCTTTCGCAATGTCTGTCTGGCTTTATTTTCCCTGCGCAGAGTTTTTTGTGAGTGGGCCGGTCGGTCGGCCCGTCGCTGGCTGGAGGCGACACACGAGTGGGTGCTGTGTATGTACTCGCTCAACCAAAGAGAGACAGCGCACGACGGCTCACACACTGATGGGCCTCTTGGTGCCTTTCCGTTGTTGGGATGGTTTATCTCTCACTGTGTGTGTGTGTCTGTTGTCGCTGCCTTTGTCGCGTGTGTGCCTGTCAGCCGCCCGTGGCCCTTTGTGTCTGCCGTGAGTGTGCTGATGCTGCTGCCTGTGTGCCGTGCTGTCGGTCGAGAGAGACTTTATGTCTCTCCCACGCCCTGCTGACGGTCTTTTCATTGAGCTGCCATGACGACGGTTTCACTCCTGGCATGATTGCGGCACACCGATGGCTTAATGCCATCGTCGTGATTTTTATCCAGTGGGTGTCTGTCTGGTGGCCTCAAGTTTTGTTGGGGCTCAGCGACGGGCGGCTGATATCCTTTGTGTCTGTGACGGTCGGCAGGCAGGCAGACCTCATCGGGGCTGAATGTGCGTGTGTGCGTGTGGACATCGACTCGACGTGGCAGTGTCCATCAAGTTGTGTCGACGAGATGTAATAATGTGTCTCACTGCATCGATCGGATTAATCGCATCGATTTCTCTGCTGTCGACACATCTAAGCAGTCAGGAAAGATACAGCCGACACACACCAGCCACCCCCTCACCCCTCCCCCCAAGTGACACTCGCCCTGGCTAAGAAGTCTGCTGCCGAGAAGGGACCATCTAGCTAGCCATCCACCGCTCTGTCTGTCTGTCTGCCTGTCCAGCAGCCGCCCAGCAGCACCAAAGAACATCACATCAGAATGGCCGGCTGCTCAAAAGGGCATCTCACATATCAGGCTGTCTGAATTCATCGGCTGCTCTGTCGTGTGTGCCTCCCTCCCTCTCGCTGGCCAGCTAGCCAGTCAGTCAGCAGCTACACACACGCCATGTCGGCCATTCACACAGCCGATCAATGCAAAGGAAAGGCACACAGACAGACACAGGTAGGGCCGCTCGGCTGTCTGTCTATCAGTCGACGGGCCGCCATATGCAGACAAACAAACACAACGAGTCCCTTTGTATGGCTGTCTGTCTGTCAGGGTGTGTAGAGAAAGAGAGGAGAGGCCATTCATCTGACTGACTGACTCGCCGGTGCTCACTTAACCGCCCCTCACTCCAACCTCCATATAAACAGACGCGTAGAGAGAATGCAGTGAGGTGTCCACACACACACACACACACGCAGAGACGGCCGGACGGAGAGATCACTTGACGAACAAGCAGACGAAAGGAAGACCAATCAGACAGACAGACACACACACACAGCGAGAGAGGCTGTGAGTGGCCGACCGATAAGCAACTCGTGCTCACTCCTTTCTAAGCTCATCGCAGACAGATCTTATCGACAGCCATGACGATACTCTCACTCCATCGCTCAACACCGAGGCACACAGTCAGACAGTCAACGAGTGAGGAGCCCCCGGCCACACGCATGAATGTGTGTCCCACACAGCCGCCCCCACCTGTGTGTGTGTGTGGACTCTCTCCTACTCCATGCTGACCACACGGAGCTGCCAGTAGGGGGCAGGTTCGTCTGGCGCTATGATCTGCCTGAGCTCCCCCTCTCTCATCTGCGCCAACGCCTCACGCTCCCACCCACCCCGCGGCCAATCAAGCACACATTTCACCACCCCACGGAAATCGAAGTCTTTGTCCTGGCCGTCGAATGCGTCGCGCCACGAAATCCAGTCGTACTTGATGCGCAAATTGTTGATGCGATCCATGAGTCTGGGCAGTCTGCCGGTGCCCTCCTGCACGACCTTGTGGTATGCGCCACTGGGATACAGCTTGAAGCCATCAGGAATGTTGATGCCGCTGCTATCCTCATAGACGAAATGGCCGTCCAGCAGCCCGACGACGCGGTCACCATCGCAATTGACGTACTTCTTCTTGCCGCCACCCGTCGCCTGCACAGCGAAGGGCCGTAGTGTGTGAGCTGTCGATGAGGGCGTAGTGTGTCTTATGTATCAGGCAGGTACCTGGGCAGCAGCACGCCGTGGGCGACGGACCTCCTCACTCTCCTCGTCCTCTACGTCCTCCATGCGATCGTCCTCATCCTCATCATCCTCAGAACGCTGCTGCTCATCACACACACACACACACACATACAGGGAGAGAGACAGAGTGGTGAGAGTGCGGTTGGAGTGTAGTGTGATCTGACCTTGGGTGGCTTCTTGGGTGGGATCTTGGGTGTCTCCTTCTTGGGCGTGTCGCTCGACTCATCTTCACACACACACACACACACAGACACGGGCACTCGAAGGGCGATCTGGCGCAGAGTGCACGGTTATGCCGTACCATCGTCGTCGTCCTTGCGTTTGTTCTTTTTGCCCGCCGCCGCCGCCGCTGCCGCCGCTGCTGCTGCAGGCTTCTGATCCACACACACACACAGACACACACACACACACACACATAGACACACACGACTAATGGCGAGGCGAGATGCAAGAGTGTCCTTTGCTGCTGCAGGTGGACTGCAGTTGGCAAAGAGGCTGGCAGGCTGACCTTGTCGGCGGCCTTTTTGGGTTTGGCGGCAGCAGAATGGGGGGCCTTCTTGTCATCCTCATCGTCATCGTCAGCGGAAAACTGACACACACACACACACACACAGAGAGAGAGAGAGAGAGGGAGGCACACCTGTACTCTGTGTGGGCACTGTGTGTGTTGTGTGTGTGTACCAGGTCATCGTCGAAGAATGACTTGCCCTTGTCCTTCTTGCCCTTGGCGTCCTCCAACTTCGGAATGCCTGCACGCACACACACACACACACAGAGAGAGAGAGAGAGAGTGGGGGAGTGGGCATGTCACACGTGTGGCTAGCTGGCTGACCAACCGGTGAGCTGCCTCTGTCCCTTGGTGCCGCCGGTCTTCATCTTGCGCTGCAGATCTAAGGTCTTATTGCCCTCAGCCTTCACACAGACATACACACACACACACACGGCATGGGAGGGTCGGTGAGTGAGTGTGTGTGCAGCCGTACCCAGAGCAGGACGTTGTCGACGATGCCCGAGTTGCAGACCTGCTTGAGGGCCTTGTCAGAGATGGTGAACGTCGACCCGAACTTGGCAGGCTTGGTCGTCAGCGTCTCCTGCACACAGAGAGACACACACACAGAGAGAGAGAGAGAGAGATGTGGGGACCTAAGGCGCGTGTGTGTGTGTGTTGGGTGTGTTGGGTGCCTTGATTTGCGAGTCGAATGCTGGGTTCTCGATGAGGCAGTTGATGAACACCATCAGGTGATTCCTGCCCCACACACGCACACACACAAACAGACACGCGCAGCGATGGCTGTGCCCTCTGTCTGTCTGTCTGTCTTTGGGTGTGTGTGGGTGTGATTGATTGCGTACTTGATATGCATGTTCTTGACCTCAACCCCGTTTCTGTTCTTTAGCGACACCTGCACACACACACACACGCACACACACGCACACAGAGAGAGAGAGGGAGAGAGAGGAGGGTGAATGGAAGGACAGACAGACGGCGCCTCTGTGTGTGTGTGTGTGTGTGTGGATCTGCCATTGCACCGGCCGACAGGCGCACCTTCTTGGAGATGGCGTTGCACAGCTGGTCCACCACGTAGGCCACGTGTGTGCCGCCCTTGATGGTGGCGACGCTGTTGACGAACGACACCTGGCCAAACGAACCCTCTGACACACACAAGGGGAGGGAGATATCGGCGGAGTGGTGGTGTGTTTCCTCTATTTCGTGTGTCGTGTGTGTGTGTGTGTGTGTGTGCTCACCTGAGAGGGTGACGACGACCTCCCACCTCTGGCCCTTCTCGTGGATCTTGGGCAACTCAGCCTGCCTGCACCCACCACCCACACAGCAAAGCAGCCGCCTGGTGATATTCGTCCAGGTGTGTGAGTTTGGTCGCTTGATCGCTCACTCACTTGTCGGGAATGTACTTGTCGACGTACTCCTGGAACTAGCCGCACTTGAGCCGGGCCTTGTTCAGGTACACCTTCACACACACACACAGTGTGTGGGACGGGTCGGTTGTGTCAGGCCGACCTACCTTGAGGCTGCCAGCGTGAACGCCCGCTAGATCCCACACACGCTTGGTCATCAACGACAGCAAATCGTCGTCCAACCTAAGGCCCACGCCCGCCCACACCCACCGCAAAACCACAGCACGTCTGAGTGTGTGTCTGTGGTCTGTGTGGTCTGCGGGGCGGGCTGGTCGGTTGGCTGTTCACCTACTTGGTCATGTTGAACTTTTTGAGGTCCGGTTTGTATGTCACGAGCACGAAGTCCTTCTCCTCGTCGGTGTCCTCGATCTCCGGCCCGCTGTGCTTGGTCATGTTGTCTGTCCACGTCATCTTGAACCGCCTGACACACACACACACACACACACACACATACACAGCCGCCCTCTCCTCCCCTTTTCACTGACAGTCCCTTCTTCGCGTCGAGGCACTCGACGGTGAACTCGGTGCAGAAGACGTTTGTGAGTTTGGCGCCGAACCCGTTGCGGCCGTCTGTGACGCGTTCCTCAGTGTCGTCGTAGTTGTCCGAGGTGAGCAGGTGGCCGAAGATGAGCTCGGGGACGTACATATTGTGCTCCTTGTGGATCTCTACGGGGATGCCGCGGCCGTCGTTCCACACCTTAAGGAGGGAGGACACAGAGAGAGAGAGAGAGAGAGAAAGATCAAGAGCGGAAGAGTTGGGTGACACATTGGCACACAGACACACCAAAACGGGGTGTGTGTGTGAGGGGTGTGTGTGTGAGGGGTGCGTGTGTACCCCAACGAGATGGTGTTGTTGGCTGCGTCGATGTTGACCTTGATGGCCGTCATATTCATCTTGTCAGCACCTGACACAGCACTGACTGCATCCGACTGCCGCACTCGAGTCGGTGCGTACGCTGCAGGTTGTCCGCCGCATTCACCAAGATCTCACCTGCACCACACAACACAGCACCACACACCACAACACACATCCATGTCACCCATTTCCCGGCAGATCTGATCTGCCCTCCCCTATTACCGAAGATCTTGTAGATGCCGGGCACGTAGTCGATGCTGCGATAGACCATCTTGTCCTTGGTAGCGTCGTAGACCCACATGTGCTGCTGGTGGTGCTCGTTGCTGCCGACATACAGGTCGGGCCGCAGCAGGATGTGCTCGACCTGGGTCTTCTTCTGGTACCGCTCCTCTATGCTCTTCTCCTTCGGCATACTGACCGACCAACACAACACCTACCTCCCTCCCTCCCTCCCGCACGAACGCGAATGCCGCTCGCCGCAGAGGCTCTCTGCGATTCAACGATGGGAATGAATCAGCTCATGGCAGAGGGCGTCAAGCCGTTCTCACGCCCATTGTCACGCGCCGATGATTCAAGAGTGTTTACCCGATCGCTGGGTCGGGCACGATGCTCCCCTTGTTTCGAGGGCATGATGACATGCCGGAAGCTCTGCGAGATCTGCCACCCTCTCTCTATGCATTCAGCTGAGGGTGCAGTGATGACCTCTGCTGTGCTGCGGCCGATGAGTGATCTGCCAAAATGACTTCTGATCTCGGTCAAGCGAACCACTCAGCTCACTATCGATACGCCTCAGCCGTGAGTTGACGCCGCTGTTTTCTCACCTTCGGCGTCAAGCTCGCACCACCCGGTGAAGGGGCAGAGAGGAAAGAAAAGGGAAGAGAGAAGAGTCATCAGGTCGGATAGACAAAGCAAAAACAATACAGAAACACACAGGTCCGTTCACTTCGGTGTCTGTCTGTGTGTGGTTCAGGGACTGCCGGTGAGAGATCTGTTGCCTGTGACGATGGAGGCCGAGTTGGCCGCTCGCCAGTTCAGCGCCCATGCGATTCTCAATGAGCTGCACGTGCCCGTGACGGCCATCGGTGACGCCATCAGCCAGCTGCACACACAGATCCGCCAGGCTGACGAGGACGCCCAGCGAGAGCGGCAGCACCACGGCGCATCGGACCCCTCGGCGGCCTCGCCTGACGACACTTTGCTGCTGAATGTGGGCGGACATCTGATGAGCGTCAGGTGGCAGCACATGACTCAGGGAGAGGGGGTGGAGGGCACTCTGCTGGCGGCCCTCTTCGGGGGCTGCTGGGAGGGCCGACTCATCAAGGACGACAGCCAGCGGGTGTTCGTCGACATCTGCCCGGAGGCCTTCAAGGCCGTCCACAAGGCCATACTCAACGCCGAGACCCTTCGCAGCGCCGGCAAGGCGGCGTCGGTCGGCCATCTGCTCAATGAAGTGGCCAAGCGCGACAAGGGTGAGGGCAATGAAGGCCATGACACACTTTTCGTTTCGTCATACTCATTTGGCTGTCTGTGTGGTTTGCCTGTCGCAGGTCGCCATGGCTTCTGGGTCAAGCTGTTGACGACGCCTCTCGACAAGGATGTCACAGAGGGCACCGGCAGTGCCGATAGTGTGCCCACCGGGTCGCTGACAAGCAGCCCCACCGAGGCGGCGGCCGCCCTCAAGGCGATGGAGGCCATCCTCAAAGCCTTCGCCAATGAGAAGGCCCGGCTGGAGGGACAGCTGCGGGCCGCCAACACACGACGCGACAATCTCGACAAAGAGATAAAGGTGACCACATGCAGAGAGGGAGAGGAAGCAAGAGGCTGTTGGTCTGATGGTTGTGTGTGTGTGTGTGTGTCAGGCCGTCGAGCCCTTTCTGCTGCCTCTGAGTGGCGGCGATGCCATTCGGTCGGTCGAGGTGTGTGGACAGCTCATCTCGACCACTCAGTCCACTGTGGACGAAATGGGCGACATCGCACTCAGCCACCGATTTGACCTGTGAGCCCACCACACCAACACACAGAGGACACACACCGATGTGCTTCTCACTGTTTGTGTGCCGTCAGGTGGTCCAGCAGCCGGGCGGTGGAGGTGGTCGATCCCGACCACATCGGCCGCATGGTCGACTTCTACCGCAGAAAGCGACTCGGCGCCTCGCCCGCCGACATGGCCGCCGTGCTGACGATGGCTGGCGAGACGGACCAGGCGCCATTTGACGTCAACGCGGCCATGTACGGCATCGTCAAGACGGACACACCGACACTACAGGCCAGGTGAAGCCCAACAGGGAGCCGACTGCAGCAATTGGCCATCTTGGTTTTGTCCATGTCAGTGTCGGCCGTCGCACCGGCACACTGCCATCGTCTGGCTATCCATATGAGGTGGTGCAGGAGGGCACCGGCAGAGTGCCCACAATCAATGACCGCGTCAAGTTCGACCGCGCTGAGTGGCGTGATGCTTTCGACGGCCAGAACAAAGCATACGATTACCGTGGGGCGGTGTATCGTGTGTCTGATCTGTATGGGTGGCTGCGTGAGTTGTTTCTGTCGATGAGGGAGGGGGAGGTCAGACACATCAAAGTGCCAGACGGACCTGAACCCTACCGTGAGCTGCGTTTGATCAGCATAGAGTAGGAGAGCACACACACACACACACACACACACACACCCCTGTGTGCGGCTGTGGGTGACACACACTCATGTGTGTGGCCGGGGGCTCCTCACTCGTGAAGTGGCTGACTGTGGGCTTTGGTTTTGGGCGAAGTAGGGAGGGTTAGCCGTAGGGGTATTTTGTGTGCGTGTCCCCTCTCTCCCCCACCGGCTGTCTGTCTGTCTGTCTGACTTTGCGTGTCTGCCTGATGATCCCTGTGCGTGGCCGGTCATTCGGTCGCCGGCTGGAGGCGACATACGAGTGTGTGCTGTGTTCTGTGTGTGTACTTGAGACAGACTGATGGACGTTTCGCTCAACCACAGACACACCCACTGGATGGGCCTCTTTGTGCCTGCCGTTGTCGGGATGGTTTATCTCTCACTGTGTGTGTGCCTGTCAGCCGCCCGTGGCCCTTTGTGTCTGCCGTGAGTGTGCTGATGCTGCTGCCTGTGTGCCGTGCTGTCGGTCGAGAGAGACTTTATGTCTCTCCCACACCCTGCTGACGATCGTTTCTGAGCTGCCATGACGACGGTTTCACTCCTGGCATGACTGCGGCACATCGATGGCTTAATGTCACTGTCATGATTTTTATCCAGTGGGCGTCTATCTGGCGGCCTCAAGCTTCGTTGGGGCTCAGCGACGGCCGGCTGATCTCCTTTGTGTCTGTGACTGTCGGCAGGCAGGCAGACCTCATCGGGGGTGACGAATGTGTGTGTGTGCGTGTGGACATCGACTCGACGTGGCCGTGTCCATCAAGTTGTGTCGACGAGATGTAATAATGTGTCTCACTGCAGTGACTCAATCGCATCGATCCGTTTGCTATCGACACGTCTAAGCAGTCAGGAAAGATACAGCCGACACACACCAGCCCGTCCCCTCCCACGAGGCACTCGCGCTAGCTAGGCAGTCTGCTGCCGAGAAGGGACCATCTAGCCATCCACCGCTCTGTCTGTCTGTCTGCCTGTCCAGCAGCCGCCCAGCAGCACCAACGAACATCATATCAGAATGGCCGGCTGCTCAAAAGGGCATCTCACATATCAGGCTGTCTGAATTCATCGGCTGCTCTGTCGTGTGTGCCTCCCTCCCTCTCGCTGGCCAGCTAGCCAGTCAGTCAGCAGCTACACACACGCCATGTCGGCCATTCACACAGCCGATCAATGCAAAGGAAAGGCACACAGACAGACACAGGTAGGGCCGCTCGGCTGTCTGTCTATCAGTCGACGGGCCGCCATATGCAGACAAACAAACACAACGAGTCCCTTTCTATGTCTGTGTCTGTCTGTAGAGAAAGAGAGGAGAGGCCGTTTATCTGACTGACTGACTGACCCGCCGGTGCTCACTTAGCCGCCCCTCACTCCGCGGCGGGTAAGAGACGCGGAGAGAGAATAGAGTGATCTATCCACACACACACACACACAGACAGACACAGACAGCCGGACGGAGAGATCACTTGACGAACAAGCAGACAAAAAGAAAACCAATCAGACAGACACACATACACACACAGAGCGAGAGAAGGCTGTGAGTGGCCGACCGATAAGCAACTCGCCGGCTCCTCGCTTGTAAGCTCATCGCAGACGGATCTTATAGACAGCCATGACGATACGCTCACTCCATCGCTCAACACCGAGGCACACAGTCAGACAGTCAACGAGGGAAGAGCCCCCGGCCACACGCATGAGTGTGTGACACACAGCCGCCCCCATCTGTGTGTGTGTGTGTCCACTGTCCTACTCTATGCTGATCAACCGCAGCTGATAGTAGCGGCCGAAGTATCCGGCTGGCAGTAAGATTTGCCTGACCTCCCCCACACTCATCGACAGCAGCGCCTCCTGGAACAACGCACCCCGATCAGACACACGACACACCACCCGACGGTTATCGTATGGCTGTGCCACCCACCCACGGTAATCGTAGGCTTTGTTGTGGCCGTCGAATGCGTCGCGCCACGAAATCCAGTCGAACTTGACGGTGTCGGTGAGTGTGGGCACTCTGCCGGTGCCGCGCTGCACTACCTTGTGGTATGCGCCACTTGGATAGCGCATGAAGTTGTCAGGAATGTTGCCATTGCTGGCCGCATCTCCTCCTCCCCCCGCTGCAGCCGCGGCTGCTGCCGGCTGCTGTGGCCCGTTGTGATCGTCCTGACGGCGTCGCTTGGTACTGACAGATGGCCTGACACACAGAATGGCATACCAAGTCAGAAATGCCCAACACGACTGTGTGCGGCTCAGTCGCTCACTGGTGGTGTTTGAAGCAGAACTTGACATCTCTGTTGAATGACGGGTGAGAGATGGCCACTCGCTGCCCTCTGACGTCCATCTCATAGCCGCCATGGCCGTCCTCATAGACAAAATGACCACCGAACTCAAACACCTCCACGAGGCGGTCACTCATGGCTCTCCTGACACGCACACACATGACGCCGCCCATCCACAGTGACGCATCGCCTGGCATCGCGTCAGATCTTCTTTCTCATTTCGGCGGTACTGACCTCTACTGCAGCGCTGCGGCCGATGAGTGATCTGCCAAAGCGACTTCTGATGTCGGTCAAGCAGCCCACTCAGCTCACTATCAACACGCCTCAGCCCTGAGCTGACACCGCTTCTCTTCTCTCCCTTCGGCGTCAAGCTCGCATGAGGCGGTGAATTGCAGCAGGGTGCCGCAGAGTGAAAGAAGAAGGAGAAGAGAGCATCAGGTGGGATAGACGAAGCAAAAACAATAGAGAAACACACAGGTCCGTTCCCTTCGGTGTCTGTCTGTCTGTCTGTCTGTGTGGTTCAGGTACTGCCGGTGTTGCGGTGCGACGATGGAGGCCGAGTTGGCCGTTGTTTGTGCCGCTTAGCGACTGTAAGAGGGCAGCGACCGACCGGAAGCCTGTTGATGCTGCAAACACCTGCTTCTTTGTGTGTTTCTGTTCACGCCAGGGCTCAGTACTACTACGGCCATGCAGCCGACTGGTGCGACGCCCTCATCCCAGCCTTCCCCTTCGTCGGTCCCCTCTCTGCTCGGCATGGCCATCGGCAGGGCGGCCGACATGGCCATGTCGCCTCACGCCGCCAGACGGGATGCACTCCGCTCTCTCATCGCCACGATCAAGAGCAGCCACCCCCACAAAGTGGACATGATGCTGCAGCTCGTCAAGCAGCACGTCGAGGCGGTCATGAGTCGTCTGGGCGTGCAAGACGTCCTGGACTTCGACATCGTTGATCTGGAGGGCGGCATGAAGGTGGCCTACGTGCTTGCAGCCGGCAGTGGCGAGGAGTGGCGGGCGATGGGGCAGTTCATTCGGCTGGCCGCCATCTACCGGCTGACCCCCAGTGCGGCTCTGCCCCTGCGGCTGTCGGCTCACTCGTGGGAGATGGCGACATTCCACGAGCTGCCCCTGGCTATGGCCATCTACCGCCTCTTCGGCCACCTACTCAACTACAAGGGGACCAGCCTGGCGCTGCAGCTGTCGGATCGGCGCTATGGGGGCTATCGGATCGGCGACAAGACGTTTCGCGTGGTGCCTCTTGGTGATCTGCCGGGCGGCCATCCCTATGCTGACAGCTACAAGCGGAGCGACCCTGCCGTCCGAGACCCCGGTCGCCGCCCTGACCTCTATCCCACCTTCTCGGCGTTTCTGCTGCGCATGGTGGTCTCCTGCTGGAGGGATGAAGATGGGGTGGGTCAGAGGCGGGTGCTCCTCGCGCGCCGTGGTGACCCTCGCCGTGGCCGTGTGCTCACCGAGGGCATCCCGGGAGATCTGGGCATCGCTGTGGACCATCGTCACGACCATGGCAATCTGAATGCTGCTGATGCAAGAAATTATCGATTGGTGATAGTGAGCGGCTTTAGGCCGGGCGAGACCGCTGCTGTCCATCTGGTGGGGGAGCTGGGCGTGGGGGGGTACGCCATCCATCTCTTGACGACCGAGGCACCTGTCGACGATCCGTCTGAGCTGCCCGCCCAGCGCTTCCCGCTGTCGATGCCCCTGTGGTGTGGCGTACTGCGGCACTTCAACCTGGAGACCGATGTTATCAATGAGGGGTTGTGGTTGTTATGAGTGTCGGCGAGGGTCAGGTCTGTCTGTCAGACTGACTGTGTGCCGTGAAACGATGAGTGTTTTTGTCAGACTGACTGACTGCATGGCTCCACTCGTGTGGTGAACGAATGAATTGATCACACACCGAAGAGAAAGAGAGAGAGGGAGTCCATGATGCCCACAGTCCCTGCAGCAAGTAGCAGCAAGCTATCTAACGCAGCCTCACACAGACGCACAGAGCCTGGCTTCCCCTTCTCTTCCCTCAGGGAATAAGTCTAGCGGCACGGCAGTATGCTTTACAACCGCCGAAATCCCACTAGTGAATGGCCCATCCATCCATCCATCCACCGCTTTGCCTTGCATAATCCGGTTTGTCGACATGCGCACGTCGTGCAGATCGTGATCTAGAAAACCGAGGATAATCCGTTTGTCAAAATAGAAAGAGCAGGCTCCCTTTGTCTGTCGAGGGAATCATGCCGACAAAGGTCATACATGGTCGATCATTCGAACTCGCTATATTGAGAAATGGACTTTTGTACTGAAGTCGGACTTTTGACAATTTTCTCCACGAAACGCTTTGCAGTGATACTCTGCTCTCGTTCGTCGTTGCCACAGAGACACACACCGAGTGACACATGTTCCAAAACAGGACAAGAAAATCGTCCACAGCGAAGACAATCAGCTTGAAGAAAATCAGCACCAGCCAACAGTCACACCCCCACCCCCCCCTCTGCGTGTCGGACATGAAGTGTGGGTGCGTGTCGATGCATCACTTTTGCATACATGGAGAGGACCGGGGTCGCATGCTCATGTAGACAGACACCGAGACAGAATGGTGGCCGATCGTTTGATAGACAGCCGAAGCGGTAAGAGCTTGGTTGGCTGCACCCACGACCACACACACACACACACACGGCTTCCGAGCGACCCAGTATGGATGGATGTCTCCCTTTTCCGCCCTATGGGTCGGCTGCGCAGATGCTGACACAACAAAGTCCACGTGTTCACGCCCGTACGTCAGGTGCAGAGTGCCGTCACCTGCACTCACAAACAAATACACACACACATACATACATACATACACGCTGCGATACGTATACATGATAAACGCCCATCTTCTGTACCTCATCATCTTCCGTACGGACATATACAATGTCGTGTAGCTGGCTTTTTCGTTTCTCACTCATCTCTGATTGACACCCTTGACACCCTTTTTGTGTTGACGAGATGCGTTTCCGCATATCATGTCCCGATTGAATCGATGCGTCCAATGTTAGTGGCTCATTGATTGATGTCTATTTACACAAACCGCCGTCGTGCACGATGCATCCGACAGACACACCAGCCCTCCCCTTCTCCCTAGGCACCCGTGCTGACTAAGCAGTCTGCTGCCGAGAATGAATGAATGAATGAATCCGTCCATCCGCCGCTCTGCTGTTTGTCTGTCTGTCTGTCTGTCTGTTCCTATGGGCGGCACGCGCAGCCCGCAACACACCCGCAATGCTCACAGACAGCATCCTGTAACCAGCCTGTCTGGCCACCGAACCGCTGAAAAGACACACCTCGGTGGCCATGTGTGTGTGTGTGTGTGTGCAGGGAAGTCGCTTACACATAGAGGCAAACACAGCACACACAGCCGGCCAGCCATGAGTCAGTCAGTCGGCCAGGCGACCACCCGCAGAGAGCACTACAACTAAGCCGAAGGAGGCACCAGACAGACAGTCAGTCAGTCAGTCAAAGAGGGAGAAGCCCCCGGCCACACACACACTCATGATGATCATCACACACATGAGTGTGCACTCATGTGTGAGACACACAGCCGCCCCCACGTGTGTGTGTGCACTCTCTCCTACTCTATGCTGACCAAACGCACCTCAACGTAGCGGACTAACCATCCGGGTGGCGTTATGATTCGCCTAACCTCCCCCACCCTCATCGACAGCAACGCCTCGCGCAACCACTCACCCCGATCAGACACACTAGACACCGCCCCACGCTTATCGATGACTTTGTCCTGGCCGTCGAATGCATCAGCCCACCCGACGTGGTCGAACTTGACGCGGTCGGTGGCCTTGGGCACTCTGCCCGTGCCGAGAGCGAGGACCTTGTGGTATGCGCCACTTGGATAGCGCATGAAGTCATCAGGGATGTTGCCATTGTTGCCATTGCTGACCGCCGCTCCCCCGCCCACTGCTGCAGCCGCTGCTGCTGCGGCTGCTGCTGCTGGCCCGTTGTGGTCGTCTTGACGGCGGCGCTTGGCACCACCGACAGACGGCCTGACACACAAAAGGGCAGCGAGTCAGTCAGTCAGAGTGCAACACACCTGTGTGTGGCTCGGCCGCTCACTCGTGGTGGTGTTCGAAGCAGAACTTGATGTGCGAATGGAAGGAAGGCTTGATGGCCACCCGCTGCCCCGTGACGTCCGCCTCATAGCCGCCATGGCCGTCCTCATAAACGGCACAGCCGTCCAGCAGTCCGACAACACGGTCACCCATGGGTCTCCTGCACACACACACACACACATGACGCCGCCCATCCACAGTGACGCATCGCATCAGATCTTCTCTCTCCTTTCGGCGGTGCTCACCTCTGCTGTGTTGCGGCTGATGAGTGATCTGCCAAAGCGACTTCTGATATCGGTCAAGCAAACCACTCAGCTCACTATCGACACGCCTCAGTCCTGAGCTGACGCCGCTGTTTTCTCCCTTTGCCAAGCTCGCACCACCCGGTGATACTCAAACTGAAAAAGGAAGAGGGAGCATCAGGTCGGATAGACGAAGCGATTAAGCAATAGAGAAACACACAGGTCCGTTCACATCGGTCTGTGTGTGTGTGTGTGGTTCAGGCACTGCCTCTGCGAGAGATCTGTTGCGCTGTGGATGGAGGCCGAGTTGGCCGCTCGCCAGTTCAGCGCCCATGCGATTCTCAATGAGCTGCACGTGCCCGTGACGGCCATCGGTGACGCCATCAGCCAGCTGCACGCACAGATCCGCCAGGCTGACGAGGACGCCCAGCGAGAGCGGCAGCACCACGGCGCATCGGACCCCTCGGCGGCCTCGCCTGACGACACTTTGCTGCTGAATGTGGGCGGCCATCTGATGAGCGTCAGGCGGCACCACATGACTCAGGGAGAGGGGGTGGAGGGCACTCGGCTGGCGGCCCTCTTCGGGGGCTGCTGGGAGGACCGACTCGTCAAGGACGACAGCCAGCGGGTGTTCGTCGACATCTGCCCAAAGGCCTTCAAGGCCATCCACAAGGCCATCCTCAATGCGGAGACCCTTCGCAGCGCCGGCAAAGCGGCGTCGGTCGGCCATCTGCTCAATGAAGTGGCCAAGCGCGACAAGGGTGAGGGCAATGAAGGCGATGACACAGTCTTCTTGTGTCGTCATTCCGTCTTTGGCTGTCTGTGTGGTGTGTGTGTCGCAGGCCGCCACGGCTTCTGGGTCAAGCTAATGATGACGCCTCTCGACAAGGATGCCACGGAAGCCGCTGATTCTTCACCTGCCGATAGTGTGCCCACCGGATCGCTGACCAACAGCCCCACCGAGGCGGCGGCCGCCCTCAAGGCGATGGAGGACATCGTCAAGTCATTCGCCAACGAGAAGGCCCGGCTAGAGCGGCAGCTGCGGGCCGCCAACACACGACGCGACAATCTCGACAAAGAGATTCAGGTGACGACATGAGCAGAGAGGGAGGGAAATGTCTATTGGTCTGATGGTTGTGGCTGTGTGTGTGTCTCTCAGGCCGTCGAGCCCTTTCTGCTGCCTCTGAGTGGCGGCGATGCCATTCGGTCGGTCGAGGTGTGTGGACAGCTCATCTCGACCACTCAGTCCACTGTGGACGAAATGGGCGACATCGCACTCAGCCACCGATTTGACCTGTGAGCCCATCACACCAACACACAAACGACACACACTGATGTGCTTCTCACTGTTTGTGTGCCGTCAGGTGGTCCAGCAGCCGGGCGGTGGAGGTGGTCGATCGCGACCACATCGGCCGCATGGTCGACTACTACCGCAGAAAGCGACTCGGCGCCTCGCCCGCCGACATGGCCGCCGTGCTGACGATGGCTGGCGAGACAGATCAGGAGCCATTTGACGTCAACGCGGCCATGTACGGCCTTGTCAGGACCGACACACCCACACCGCAGGCCAGGTAAAGCCCAACAGGGAGCAGACGGCAGCAATTGGCCATCTTGGTTCCGTTCTTCTCAGTGTGGCCCCTCGGACCGGCACACTGCCATCGTCTGGCTGTCGATATGAGGTGGTGCAGGAGGGCACCGGCAGAGTGCCCACAGGGGAGGACCGCATCAAGATCGACATCGTCTACTGGCGTGATGCATTCGAAGGCCAGGACAAAAGCTGGGAACGCCGTGGCTGGGTGACTGGTGTGTCTGATCGGCCTGTGTGGTTGCATGAAGCATTGCTGTCGATGCGGACGGGAGAGACTAGGCGAATCAAATTGTCACCCACGTATGTTCAGCTGCGTTTGATCAGCATAGAGTAGGAGAGAGTGCACACACACAGGTGGGGGCGGCTGTGTGTCACACTGATGTGTGTGGTCGGGGGCTCTTCACTCGTTGGCCTGGCTGACTATGTGTCTGAGATCTGAGTGGCGAAGAGGAAGTCCCTTGTGATCTTTGTCAGCCATATCTATGCGTGGATGTGTCGTGAATTGTCCAGCGTGTGCAAGGGCAGGGGTGTATGGGCACACATTGAGAAGGGCGCATTTTAATCTGTGCGTTGATGTCGGTGTGCATGTCTAGTCATGCCGTGAGCTTTATCGGACCGTGATGACGCTTTCCGGTGTAGCATTAGCATGTTGGCCGCTGACACACACATCCGGCCATGAATGCTCTCCTACCCTCATCCATCTCACACACAAAACGCTCCCACAAATCACAACCGCCACGCACGCAGAGAGAGAGAGAGAGAGAGATGAGGCAAACGACTTATCAGCTGATGACGGCTTATCTATCGTCCCTGATCCCCCCACTTAGCATGCGCCCGCCAGTCGGGCACAACCCTGTCCATCATATTGACAAACTGGTGCATCGCCTCACGACATGGCAGGCCATCCAGAGCGTGCCATGCCGACCACTTCGAGCGCTCCACCTAGACACAGACATACACACACGTCTCTTTGTGTGTCTGCCATCAGTTGACGTTACAATGTTGAGAAAAGACGGCGGCTCTGGGCGGTCGTCACCGGCTGTCGCCTGCTTGTACAACTACATACATCCACGCAGACAGACAGACAGGAGACACACCCGAGGGCAGGCAATCCTCTGTCTCTATGTCTCTCGGTCTCTTCGCCGTACGGCGTATAGTTTGAGCTTCTGGTCGTTGGTGACGTGCACGCCCGGCAGCTCCCTGCGGCCCTCAACGACGTCCAGCGCATACTCCCATGCTATCGGGAACTCCCTCTCATATCGATGCTCCTGCACACAGGCAGATGTGAAGAGGGACACGTATGCCCACGAACTCATCCGTCTTTCTATGTCTACTTCGGACGACAGGACAAGGTCCGCTCGTGGGATGGTTGGTCTTTCGGGGATGAGGAAGTCGGCCGCTGCTGCTGCTGACGACAACATATGTTCAAGTCGCGTCGGCTGCCTTCCCTCATCTCTGCACACGAGCATGGACAAGTTCTTGTTGCTGGAGACACTCGTTGAAGCGCACCTCTCTTCGAGTGTTGGGATCTCATCCACGCGGTCCTCCCCGACCCCCTCTTCAACCATGGCTGCCACCTGTGTCTTCTTGCTCTCGCCCCCCATCACGCCACTCATCGCCACTTGCAGCTTCTTGTCCTCCCCAGACGGTTGCTGTCGCCCGTCAGTCATCCCATCCATTGCCACCTGGGTCTTCTTCTCTTCTGTCTGGGCGGCCGGCTGCTTTTTGTCCTCAGATACCCACTCACGAGAAAACGCACCCAAGATACGCATTCGCGGGGCGGTGGAAGCATCTGTTAAGATGAGAGAAGAGACATGTCTAGGTCTGTATGTGTTTGTTGGTATCTCTGACGCACCTCTGCTGGCGAGTGGGGTTGGCGCTGATGTGGGAGGAGGCTGTGGCAGGTCTATCGGCACGGACGGATGATCCAGTGTGCGATTGGTGTCCCTGAATGACTGCAACACACAAGCAGAGACACGATCTATTGGAGACGCTAAACAAGCAGACAATAGGCATGTGCACGTACCTGGTATGTGAGCTGCTGTGTGTTGTTGGTCATGTCGTGCAGCCGCTGAATCAGCAGCGATGACGCCGGCGTGGGCAGAAGGGCCTTGGGCGTGTAGCCGTGGATCGCCAGCTCGTGTCTGAGTTGTGTGAAGTCGGCTCTGACGATACCCAGTGCATTGGCGAGCTCTCTCAGCGTGGCGTGGGCTGCCTCTCTGTAGTGATAGAGCACATCGACGCGGGACATGATCTCGCGAAGCACCTTGTGCATGTCGCCTAAACACGTATACGTATACAATACATACGTACACACGGACATACACACGTATACGTACCAACATTCATGTGTACGATATTGTTTCGTTCTTTTCGTCTACCTTCTTGGCTGTTCTTGACTTCTAGGTATGAAGTCATCTCATGCAGCGCCTGGAGTCTCGCCCGGTCGTCAGACCTGCTGATGATGCATCCACTTCATTGATTCAGTGATTGATTCCCTTGGTGAGTCACCTTTCGACAGTGAGTGCTTCGATCGATCGCTTCAGCTGCCGCACACAGTGAACCAGCATCAGGCTCTCACTGTGCGGTGAGCCATCACCTCTTTCCCCATCTCTCTCATCCCCTCTTTCACTGCACACAGCACAGCTATTCAATACACAAGAGTGTCTCATCTGTCTGGTGGAAGCTATCTGTGTGCTGACATGGTGGTGTCTAGGGCCAGCATGTGTCCCTGCAGAGCACTCTGTGTGGCAAAGAAGGCCGCGTCGCTCAGCGCCTCCTCGTGTTTGGCAATCAGCTGGTGGAATGAATCCGCGCGCTTCTCCAACGCGAGAAGACGGAGCTCACAACCTGCCGGCACAAACACAGAGAGAGAGGGAGACATGCACGAAGGAGAGGACGACATCGTGTGTGGTAAGGACAGGTACCTTTGATCTTCTGTGACGGATCAGTGTCACTCAGAGGATTGACAGCCCGCTTGATCGTGTCCGCATGCTTCAGACAAAACTCCGAGAATTGGTCGAACAGCCCCGCCCTCTCCTGTTGGATAGTATTCTGCAGCGTCACGAAGTCTCTTTTGGCGATGGCAATGTCCTCCCTCAAGCCGCCCAGCTGCAGCTGCACGGCGCGGTAGCACTCGTCGAGGCCCGACGTGCCGGGATCGGGAAAGTTATCGCCGAACTTGGAGATGAAGAGGTCGTGTTCCGCCTGCAGCACGTCCAGCTGATTCTTGAGAGCCGCCACCGTCTTGCTGTCAGTTTCGGCGTCGGTGTGGCCCTCCCTTGGTTGAAATGGCATCGGCATTTGTGCTTCGTCTGGGGGACGGTGGATGACTTCCTCCCGAACAGCAACAGGCTCTGTGTGTCCTCTCGAAAGCCGTCTGTCGAGAACATGTGGCCGTCTGTCGCTGCCCATAATCCCTCTCACGGCCTCGGTGCACCACTCGACGCGCGGAAAGAGTGTGTCCTCACACTGGCGGATAAAGGCCGACAGCGCCCCCACTTCATTCCACAGGCTGGTGAACTCCTCCGAGAGAATAGTGCCGTCCTCGGCTGTCCTTGGTTTGCGTGGAGGTCGCTGATTGAGCGCCCTGGCCCACGAATGCTGCGCGTTGGCCGCCGTCTTCTTGATGGATTCCGTCGCTTCTTCTGTCATTTCCCTTATCTGCTGCTCGCAAGCGGCCACATAGCTGCTGAGCTGTTCCTTGGCTTGGTCAGTCTCCCGGAAGCACTTCGCCATCTCTTCCCGAATCGCCTTTTTGCCCTCCTCGACGCACTCGCGAACAACACTCTCGATATCCGCTCGCGATATGGGCACGGGAGCGCTGGATAGACGCTGTATCTGGCTCTGTAGCTGAGCCACCTGATCTGTGAGCGACGCCACTTGTGACTGGAGGTGCTGAAGCTCATGATTTGGCTGCGTGTCTTCATGTCCTTGGTCATCCATTGCGAGAGTGAAGGCCGGGGCCGCCGGAATAGAGTCCATCAGGAGCAGAATGGGGGCGAAGAGATGTTGGCCATTGGCGAAGATTTGCGGCGAGGAGAGCGCGAGCTTGTGTGCGTCGAGGCATTGTGTCGGCTCAGGTGGGTCAAGGGAGCTATCAGACAGCACACAGTGTGCCCGATCTATGCAGCAGACGTGTCCTCCCCTTCTCACGCGTCCTCACACGACTGACTAGCTGGCGGCGCAGAGAGAGATCAGACGCTGTCACTCTCAGGTGAGCATGCGATGCATCTGGCATCAGATCTGTCTGTGACGTTCGAGTGTGTTGCAGGCCTTGCCTCATTCGAGCCATCCGGCACATCGTAGCTCATATCACTCATCACGTGCCAGACATACACATTCAGGTAGGCAAGCAGGCAGCAGAGAATGATGCGTCCATTGCACCACTATCTGTCTGTGACGTCATCATCTGTGTGTGCAGTGGGCCACTGTGAGCATGGGTGACCGTGTTGTTGGCCTGCTCGACGGCCGTGACGTCTATGCTGATGGCCATGGCGGCTATGCTGTGAAGGTCAAAGGCGAGATGCGCCCGCTGCCGTCATCTGCCCACGACAAAACCATCATGTTCGCTGACGTCCTCAGGTGAGAGAGCGCCATGTTGGATGAATGGATGGATGGATCGCCGCCTTCTCGTGCATCTCTATCTGTGTGTGATTATGTCAGCCATGGCGCCACATTGCGGCCTCAGGGGGCCAACAGCAACACCAGCAGTGACGGGAACAGCCATGAGGGCTTCGTCCGCATCCCCAGTGGAGCGTACCACAAGGTGGTGCAGGAGGGCACCGGCAGAGTGCCCACAGCCACCGACCGCGTCAAGTACAACCACATCTCGTGGAGTGATGCGTTCGACGGCCAGAACAAAGCATACGAGGAACGTGGGCGGGTGAATCGTGTGTCTGATTGGGTTCTGTGGGAGCGTGAGGCATTGCTGTCGATGCCTGAGGGGGAGGTGAGGCAAATCATAGTGCCAGCCACACATGGCGCTTACGTTCAGCTGCATTTGATCAGCATAGAGTAGGAGAGAGTGCACGCAGACACACACATGGCGGCGGCTCTGTGTGTCACACACTCATGTGTGTGGCCGGGGGCTCCTCCCTCTTTACCTGGCTGACTGTGTGCTTTGGTTCTGATCGGAGGAGAGGGAATGTGCCGCTCTCTCACTCACTCACTCACTGTCTGGCTGGCTGGCTGGCTGGCTGGTAGTTCTTCGTTTCGCTTGTCCGTCGTGCTCTCGTCTCGGCGGGCCGGCTGTGTGTATTGTGGCTGCCCCTCTGTGATACAATGGGCGACATGTGCCCACTCTCGCCACCTCTCTCTGCGTTTGTGTGTCTACGGGTGTGTGTAAATATTAAGAGAGGCATACAAACTGCGGCGGAGTCAGTCAGTCAGTTCGTCAGATACACACATGACCACCGAGGTGCCTTTTAAGCGGCCGACGGCAAACAGGCCGATGACAGAATGGCGTATGTGGGCATTGGCGATGTCTTGCTGGCTGTCTGTGTGGCCCCACACTCATCAAGGACGATTTCTGTGTGTGGTGGCCTCTCAATCACCGACAGCGGGTAGGCCGTCATCCGCAGTGTGTGTGTTTGTGAGGTGCCGCTTTGGCAGAGCATTCTCTAGACAGACAGGGGGGGATGTGTGTGAGGGGGGGG